ACTCCACATTCATCGCCATTCACGGCAGCAGCAGCAGCAGCAGCAGCACTAGCACAGGCCGAAAGAACTCCACCCGCAGCTGCAGCTGCAGCAACGCGAGCAGCAGCAAAGCAGCAGCAGTAATGCAGCAGAGCAGCAGCGTAGCTGCAGCACGACAAGCATCAGAAGGAAAAACAGCAGCAGCAAGAGCAGCTGGCGCTGCATTGTCCCGAGCAGCAGCAACAGCAGCAGCAGCAGAAACAGCGGCAGCAGTGCGGACCTGAAGCCTCCTGGCAACTGCGAGCAGCTGCTGCTGCTTCCTCTTGAGAAGCCCCTTGTACCTTTTCTGCTGCAGCGCGTGCCATAAAGCATCAATTTGCTGCAGCAGCAAACAGCAATTGAATTGACTTAAGGGACTAATCTTTGAGGCCTTTAGATGCGGCAGCAGTCCCCGCCGGCCCCGCAGCAGCAGCTGAGCTGCGCACGAATCCGCTGCTGCTGCTGCTGCTGCTGCTGCTGCTGGGCTGCTCGCTGCTGCTGTTTCTTGGGGGGCTGCCGCTGCTGCTATCGCTGCTGGTGACCCTGCTGCTGGCAGCGACTCTGCTGCTGCTGCTGTTGCTGCTGCTGGGGTTGCTGGCAAGCGGGCAATTGAATTGCTGCTAGATGATCCCGAGCCCGCTGTTGCTGCTGCTGCTGCTGCTGCCACTGGTTCCGGGAGGCTGTCTTGGCACGCTGAGCAAAAGCATCACGGCACAGCAGCAGCAGCAGCTGAGGCAGCAGCAGCAAATGCAGCAGCACGGCTTTAGTGCTCCCTGCTTAAATGAAACCGCAGCTGCAGCAGCAACTGCAGCAGCAACTGCAGCAGCACCTGTTCAGGGAGCGTCACTCCATGCATTACAGCAGACCAGCCCAATCAAGTGAACTCTAGGGTTTAGGGTTTAGGGTTTAGGGTTTACGGGGGCCTAAGATAAGGTCCGAAGCTGTTGGGGCCCTCACGGGAGAAACAGCAGCAGCAAAATGTTGGCTCAGCTTCTTCAAGACAGCATCTTCCTGGTGTACATACACCGCAGAACACAGACTGGAGACGCAGATGCAGCAGCAGCAGCAGCAGCAATAGCAGCAGCAGCAAGCAGCAGCAGCAGCAGAAGAATCGGCGCTGCTGCTCGCTTCCAAGAGTAAGCCAGAGTGATAGGCGAGTGGCGCAGCAGCAGCA